CCTTAACTTGAAAAGCCAGTAGGGAGTAAGGGACCACCTCTATACATTTCCGTTGTAGTCAACCTATGGACTGATGGTGGGGGAGGAAGGGAAGAGGAAACAGGATGTAACAGGAGCCCTGTGGGGACCATGCCAACCTGCATTGGGGCCACAGCTGATGGGACCAGGAATTTATTCAGATTCTCCTTCCCAGGATCTGGGAACTGCACCTCAGAGTCTCTAATCAGTTTTTCCAGAGATGATGTAATTTCGAGGCTGCCTCGTGGTCATCTCTTGTCATGCAAAGGGAGAAAGAGACAAAATCAGAGAGAAGCCCAAGGAGCAGAGGGGACGATGCCTGAGCAGAGGGGACGGTGCTGGGTTAGGTGAGCAGCTTTGGGGTCACTGCACTTGGTGCCTCTGAACCATGGATCTTCCCTCTCTAACCTGGGGTTGAGGGTTCCTGCTGACCTCTAGGGACGACGAAGGTTAAATGAATCGATGCACAGTAAGGGCTTGGTTCCCAGGGAGTTGCCAGAAGGGACGGTCGTCATTTCCCTGGTTATAAAAGACAGCCCTTGGCAAGCCTGTACTCTACTGCGGGCCGCAGACAGAGCCTCAGGAAAAGCAAAGTGCTAGTACTGAGTGGCGGGCCAGGGGGCGCTGTGGCCCTCCTTCAAATAAGCATGGAGTAGCATTGAGGGGCCCCATCTGCTTTCTCTCCTCCTCTCCATCCTCCACTTCCTTCAAGCAAGATATTTTTATGACTGTTTCTTGAAAGATTATTCCTCTCTGTAGAGGCAGGAGCCGCCTTCAAGGGCCGGGCTCCGTCAAGCCTCTGTCCCAGGAAGAGCCAGGTGCCGGGAGCGGCCAGCAGGGGGCGTGGTGGAGGCAAGAGGTACGCGGGGAGCCCTGGGTCTCTTTGGGAGGGTCGCTGCACCATCAATCACCGCGTTCCTCCATCTCAATCCATCTTCCACTGGTGAAGGAACTGGGTTCCAGCATCCCCCTTCCAGGTCTGAGGGCTGGGTCAGGCTGCTGGCGGACGCCCTCTGGTGAGGAAGAGAAAAGGGAAGGACCGTCTCGCAGTACAAGCAGACATCAGTTCTGGACATTTCCTCTCTGCTGCGGACTTTAAAGGGACTTAAAAAAAATTGAGCACAAAAAGTAGGGGAACCAGTCACAATCTCTCCCACCCTTGTCCTGAGGTAATAGGGTGCACGCACGTGTTCTTGATCTTCCTTTATCCTCATGGTCACTGACACACTTCTGCATCTTGCTATTTTCCTTAATAATATGCCTTTTATATATAGAATTTTCTATATGTCTACACAGGGAGCTAGATAGTAACTGGATGTGAAGTGGGATAGAAAATATAGAAATAGGTAGAGCTGAATGCAGTGGCCCATACCTTCAATTCCAGTGACTTGGGAGGCTGAGGAAAGAGGATTGAAAATTTGAGGCCAACCTGGGAAATTTAATGAGACCCTGTCTCAAAATAAAAAATAAAAAAGGGTGGCAAAATAGCTCAGTGATAAGAGTACCCCTGGCTTCAATCCCCTGTACCACTTCCTCACCAAAAAAATAGATAAATAAATAAAAATTAAAAAGTACAAAGGAGATACAATAGAACAAGAAAATCCAATTTTAATCTGAGTTTCTACATACTTTTCCAAGCCTGTCACTTCTCAAACTAGTCTCTCTTCCAGGCCCTTTACTCCCAAATTCCTGAAAAATCTTAAAAGTTGACTGTAAACTCACCCACTTAAGATAATTACTTTGTGCACTGATAAATCACTCCTCAATATACAGATTAAGTAAAGAGAAGTGTGACATTTTAAGCAACTTATTATTTAGGGGACTTTCCAGCATTATCCACTGATCAGATAGTGATGACCACACCCAGCCAAGGGATTCGGAGAATGACCAGACCACCATAAACCCACTCAGGATAATGAAATTGAGGTCATCCCTGCATACCTTCCATGAAAACCTCTCAGCAAATTTCCTTTAAAAGAAGAGCCAGAAACTACCCCAAATGTGTCTCTCACTCTCTAGGTGGCTGGCGTCCACCCTTGGACATGCGTTCCCACTTTCCTAAATACATCTTGGGCTGTGCCTTCACTGACACCAACATTCTTCCCCATCACATATGCCAAGGACCCCACCCGTCCTGAGTCCGTTCCCCCCTCCCTGTGTCTTCTGGGTCTCCTCTCCCATGACAGAAAAATATGCCAAAATTTATGTAATCAGTCCCCTCAGGGGTGGAAATGCAGGCTGCTTGTCATTTGCTGTTGCAAACAACATTGCAAGAAATATCCTTGTACAAACATCTTTTATGTTGTAGAATTTGACTTATTTGTTTGTTTTGCTACTGGGGATCCAAGCCAGGGGTGTTCTACCTCTGAGCCACCTCCCCAACCCCTCTTTTATGTTGAGACAGGGTCTCCACTAAATTACCCAGGCTGACCTTGAACAGTCAGCCTCAGCCTCCCAAGTAGCTGGGATTACAGACCTGTACCACCACTCCCGGCTGCATTTGTTTTATGTATTTGAACTTATGGAGTTTTGGTCTCTGGGTTTGGGTCAAACTTGGTAAACTTTTCCCTATCTGGCAATTAAAAAAACCAAAAACCCACCTTTTCTTTTAGTACTTCCACAGCTTTCCTGTCATTGCCTGGTTACAGTGTGTAAGGTGAGAAGTTAGTGTTCATGTTAGTTCTTCCTGGATGCTTTGCTGAGCACTTAAGGTACTTAGTCTCACCACATCCCTGGGGCCTAATTTCCAGTTTAATATCCACAATTCTTTTTTTCCAGTACTTGGGATTGAACCAAGGGGTACTCTGCCACTGAGCCACATCCCCCAGCCCTTTATACTTTTTTAGTTTGACACAGACTTTCACTAAATTGTAGAGGCTGGCCTTGAACTCATGATCCTCCTACCTTAGCCTTAGGATTATAAGGATGAACCACTGCACCCAGCTCATGCGTGTACTTTACAAGTGAGAAACAGAGGAGGAAACACACAGAGGCACATGGCCCAGCTCACCTGAAAGAATTGGAAACTGGCTTCCAGCTCCGTGACCTTGCCTTTTACCACAATAAAAGTAGCTACTATTCTGAGCCATAAAATTACTTTTAAGATAATATATTTTAGTACAGTTTCAGATTTACAGAAAAATTCTGAGAATGGTACAGAGTTTTCAGATGCTCCCATACCCAATTTGTCCTACTATTAACATCTTACATCAATATGGTACATTTCTCACAATTTAAGAATCAATATTGATAAATGACTTAACTGAAGCCCATGGGCAGATTTCCATAGATCTTACTTAGTGTATTTTAACTTATTCCAGGATCCTATCTAAGGTATACTATTGTCATCGCTCTTTAGACTTCTCTTGGTTGTGACAGTCTCTCAGATTTTCTTATTTATTTTCTTGTTTATTTATGGTACCTGAGATTGAACCACTGAGCCACATTCCTAGGACTTTTTATTTTTTATTTTCAGACAGGGTCTCCCTAACTGGCTTAAGGGCTCCCTAAGTTGCTGGGGCTGGCTTTGAACTTGCAATTTGCTGAGGCTGATCTCCAGCCCCCAATCCTCCTGCCTCAGCCTCTGGAGCCTCTGGGATTACAGGTGTACACCATGGTCCTCTGTTTTTAGAAAATGACTTTGACACTTTTGAAGAGACAGCTTTGCTATTTACTAGAATATCTAAGCTGGGGTTGTCTGCTTTTAGGTATTTATGTATGTATACCCCCAGTCCCTCTGCCCCCTTTTATTGAGACAGGGTCTAAATTGAGGTTCTGTGCAGACTTGCCGTTTTTCTGCCTCAGCCTCCTGAGTGACTGGGACTAGAGGCCCAGGACACCAGCCAGCGGATTTCATTTTTATTAGACTGGGATTGTGGGGTTCTTTTTTCCCGTGGTGATGATGGTGGTGGTAGCGGGTAGAGATAAAGTGCGCTTCTCATCATCACATGGCAAGGGTGCACTCCTCCACATGAATCATCAGGGATGATGTTCACCTTGGTCACCTGTTCCAGAAAGTGTTTGTCAGGCATGACACAGAGTAAAACCGCAGCCGCTCCAGGTCTCCCACCGCGTTCTTGGAAGGACAGCGCCACCTCCTCTCGGTATCTACACAATTGATTTGGGATTCTGCACGGGAGATACTTGACCCACATTTCCCCAGCGATTTATTTCTTTAATCGCTTATTTATAGCATGCAATTTTATTTATCTATTTGTCTCTTTATTTTTCTGATGGAGTCTCTGTTTTGTCCAGGCTGGCCTTGAACTCCTGGGCTCCTGTGATCCGTCATCCTCAGCCCCAGGCAGCTGGCCACTACATCTGGCTCATTACTTTTTTTTTTTTTTTTTTGGTACTGAACGCAGGGGTTTTACCAGTAAACTACATCCCCAGTCTGCCTACGATCCTAAGAGCCTCGCTAAATTGCTGAGACTGCCCTCAAACTTGCGATCCTTCTGCCTCAACCTCCTGAGTCCTTGGAGTTACACGCCTGCGCCAAATCCCCGGCCTGGCTGATTTTTATTTATTTATTTTTTAATTTTAAATTGCACTTGGATAGATAGATGCACGGGAATAGAGATGGAACGTGGATACGGTGCAAAACCTAAAACCCCAAAACTTTGTGCATCCTGAAGGATCCTCCCTCCACCGAGGCTCGACCTACCCGGTAGCCCGCTCCTGGACCCTCGGGATAGATAGCGATATCTTGGACATTTACAAACTTGCATTTTTGTACTTTTTGTACCCAAACCACGTACTCGATGCACGAGTCTGGTGTCTTCGTTATTTTATTTCTTAACTCGAAGCCCTCCGGGTCTCATCAGCGCCGCGGACCGAGCCCTCCCCAGCCCCGCCGCAGCCCCGGCGCAGCCCCGCGGGCGCCATCCAGGGGGTCCCGCGGCCGCTCCGCGCTCCCGCCGCCCAGCGCCCCGCCCCGGCCTCTGTGACGTCAGCCGGAACCTGGAATCCCGGCTGCGGGCGGCGGCGGCGGTGGCGGCGACGGCGGAGGCTGCGGGTCCCCGGCGGCCTCTGCCGAGCGCGCGCGCAGCCATGAGCGAGTCCAGCGTCAATGCGCTCCAGTCCGGCAGGCCCCCCAGGCAGCCGGTGGTCCACCAAGGTAGGCGGCGGGCGGCGCTGCTGGCGCCAGGGGCGCACGGCGACAGCAGGTGCTGGGGACTCTCAGGTCCCGAGCCCTGCTTTGGGGGAGAGAGCAGGCGGGAAGAGGGAGCCTTCTTAGACCTGCCTTCCCTCCTCCACCCCATCCTCCCCCAATCCCGAGAGAGCGTGCAGAGGACCTCGGGAACCGCGGTCCTGACCGGGATCCCGGGCCAGCCTCTCCATGGGAACCTCATCTGTTAAATAAAAAGACTCAGGGAGCCCCGCCTGGCCACCTTCCGTCATCTCCCCTCCGTGCCTGCCCTCCAAACATGTCAGACTTTGCCATCAGACCACTTGAAAAAAAATTCTGCCCCGACACTTTATTGGGGTGTGCGTTTTGGTAAGTGGCTTGCTTTCTCTGAGCCTCAGATTCGACAACAGTTAATCGGGAGGAGGATGGTGTGGAAATAGCTGTGAAATAGCTGTAAAGTGCCCTGCACAGTCCTGGGACAAAGAAAGGCACACACAAATGATAGCCAGCCAAGCATAATGATCTCCCCTCCCCCAGCCCCCTCTTTTATTGGGTAAAATGTACAGCAAAATACAGCTCCATGAATTTTTACATAAATATATAAAACCGCACCCAGTCGAGCTAGAAAAGTTGCTAGCAGGCGGACTTCCTTGTAACATTTGTATCTTATTTTTGTCCTGAGCAAGACAAATCTCATCTGCTGTGAATTTTATCTGCAGTGTTTTCTGTATTACAATTGGAAGTCAAAGATATAACAAAACCAAGGATTGTTCTCAACTTCTAGAAGAAAAAAATCTACCAGAGACCTAAAGCCTGGGAAAGGACTCAGGAATCAGAGAGAGAAATCAAGCGAGGTTCAATGCTGATTATTTTCTGGTTCAGTGTTAATACTGCTGGCCTCAGCTCAACCTCAGCCTTTTAAGAATAGCCGGGAACTGGGGGGTAGTTCAGTGGCAGAGTGTTGGGGCTGCATACACAAGGCCCTGGGTGCCATTCTCCAGCACTACCGAGGAAAAACAGCCATTCAAACATTTCTCTAATTAGTTTCTATTTATCTTCTTCTTCGACTCATTACGTTGAAGATGCCAACTCCTGTTTCCTGTGCAGAGATCCTGAGAGTCATCTTTGTGAGATCTTTGCTGGGTGTTAAGGGGACTAAGTGATGTTTTCTAATATCACAACTGGTCCCTCTCACTGAAAGATCTCCCCTGCTCCTCCGACAGATGGTTTCTCTCTCCCTCCATTTTTTTCTTTTCTTGGCAGTGCTGGAGATTGGACCCAGGGGCCCACACATGTCCTTTTTATTGTATTGTTATTTTGACACAGGGTCTCACTAAGTTGCCCAGACTGGCCTCGACCTTGGCCGTCCTCCTGCCTCAGCCTCCTGAGTGACAGATGATTTTTTTGACAGATGATTTTTTGACCTGGTATCCATCAACATGGGCAGGAGGCCTTTTGGGACTCTGTGGCACTTTATAAACGGGGACTGTCTGTGTGGACATCAGGGGAGGAGGGTTGGGTGGGGGTGTGTAGCTGTCATTGTAACAGATACCTGAGCTGACCAACTACAGCCAAGCCGTGTTTTGACTCCCAGTTTTAGAGGTTCCGTCCGTGATCAGTAGTTGGTGCCGCTGTTTTGGGCCTGTATGGAGGCAGCTCATCGTGGCCGAACATGGCTGCCCCTAGGGGCCAGGAAGGCCAAAGGATAGAGAGCGGGGGTGGGGAGGGGAAGAGGGGGGGCTCCAGGTCCTACCCAGTGACACTGGCTGCCTTCCCGTTCCAGCCACTTGGCAAGCTCACTGCTGGCTTGGGGCCTTGGCATCTGCTATTGTCTCTGAACCCCTCTTCCCTTTTATCTTCCTGGGGCAGCCCCTTCCTCCCCCTGCTGGGCCTCTAGAGTCACCTCAGAGAGGCTGACTTCTGGGCCTCTAGTCTGAAGGCCTGTGGCCATCTCTCTTTCTCTGACCAGTTTCTCTTCGGTTCTGTCCAAGCCCTTGATTTGATAGTTTTTCCTTCGTTAAGGAAGGTCTGTCCTTTCAGATGGCGGGTGCCCCAAAGTGGGGGCTTCGTCTTGTTCTGTAGCACCTAGGGTAGTGTCTGGCACCCAGGAGGTGCTCGGTGGACTTGGAATGAATGAGCGAGACGCATCTGCAGCCACCCCGGCAGCTCTGCGTGGGAGCAGAGACTCTGGGCTCTGGTTACTTCTCGACAGAAACTGGCGGGTGCCTCAGTTTCCTTGTGGATTAAGTGGAAATAACATTTGTACCTGCCTCAGGGGGTCATGATAAGGATTAAGTGGATCTCGTGAGCGCTTGCCTCAGGTATGTGTGTGTGTAATAAATCACCCCAAAACTTTGTGGCTCCAAACAGTAATAATCACTTTCAATCTAGTCATTTCTGCGGGTCAGAAATCGGGAGTGACTTTCCCGAGTGGTGCTGCAGTCTGGCTGGGCACAAATCACGAGCCACTCAAGCAGGAACAAACTTTATTTCCGAACTCCGCAAACCCCACCCACGCGGCCCTTCCAGGCACACCACACACCAACCAGAAACTCTCCCGGAACACCACCCACTGGGCTTCGTGCACACTCACTCCCCTCGAGAACTCAACGGGAATTCCAAAGTAGCGGGCGCCCAGGCGGACAGCAGGGGTCTATATACAATTGAATCAATCCAGCATCATCTTAGTGGCTCGCCTCTCAACCATTATTTCTGGCAAAATGTCAGGGGCCATTCCGACTCGGCTGTGGCTCTCAACATGGTGGTTCTGCCTCAGGGTCCCTTAGGTGCAGGCAGTCACCATATGGCCTTGTGGCCATCGGAACTCTTGACCGGGGCTGCAGGAGCCCTCCTCTGATGGCCTGCTCACACGGAGGGTGGCTGAAGCTCAGTTGCCCTGTGCACCTCCCGGACACAGCTTGAGTGTCCTACGACAGGGCGACAGGGCGGTGGTCTTCTCTGAGCGTGGATGATCCAGAGACAGCAGGAGGGAAGGGGGAATGGCTTTTAGGAGTTGGTTTCAGGAGTCCCCCGTGTCATTTCCTGTCGGTGAGCCCTGTGCAGCTCACCCATCGTGGGGTGGGACTCTCAGGATGTGGGGAGGGAGCTCGCCCTGGGCTGTGCTGGACCCTGGCCCAGTCCTGGTCCTAGTGTTAGCCGTTGTCAGTGTCTGGGCTGCAGGGCTGGGGACAGCTCACCCCTTAGCCTGGGCAGAGTGGGCCTCCATGAGCCAGAAATGAGCAGCTGCCCTTCCTGACTGGGCCTGTCTTAGCTGCCCTCTCTGACCCCAGGCCCACCTGATGGTCCCCATTTTGCTTCTTGAGGCTGCTAAGCTCCCCTTCCCTCCACCGTGGGGACTATGACCTTGCTTCCTCATAAGGCACACATACTCCTCTCCTTTGACTGGGCATCACTTCCTCCTGGCTACCTCGCCTCCCCCAGGCTGGCCTCTGTGTCCCTTCTTGGTGCCCACACAGCCCCCAGCCCATATCCTCAAAGCACCTCTTGAGCTGTATGTTACTGTCGCTTCTCTTGGGCTGTATGTCCCCTCCCACCCTCACCTCCATCCTGGGGATTGAACCCAAGGCACTAACCACTGAGCAACCTCCCCAGCCCTTTTTATTTTTATTTATTTATTTTAACTTAATTTTGTTTACTTATTATGATTATTTTTTAATGCCGTGCTGAGGGTCGAACCCAGTGCTTCACACAAGAGAGGCAGCGCTCTACCGCTGAGCCACAACCGCAGCCTCTTGTTATTTTTTATTTTGAGACAGGGTCAGGCTAAATTGCTAAGGTGTTCCATAAGTTGCTGAGGCTGGCCTTGGACTTGCGATCCTCCTGTCTCAGCCTTCCAAGCTGCTGGGATTACAGGTGTGCGCCATGTCCAGCGAGCTGTGTCATTTTTTGAGAGCAGAGACACCTGAGTTCAGATGCTCACTTGGCCTCTTAAGCTTGTGGATTTGAAGAAATGACTTCTTTTTCTGAGCCTCAGTTTGCTCACCTGTGAAGGGGAGATTCTGTTAGGAGTTAGAAACTGCAGGGCTACTGCCACCTCCCCAGCCTGCACGTGGGCTGTGTCCTCGTTCTCCCCCAGGCCCAGGGACTCGGTGCCAGGTACAGTGGCCCACGCCCGTAATCCCAGAGACTGAGGCAGGAGGATCACGAGTTCAAAGGCAGCCTCAGCAACTTAGCAGTGATCACCTAACAACTCAGCGACACCCTGTCTCTACATTAAAAAACAGGGCTGAGAATGTAGCTTAGTGGTAAAGCCCTTGGGTTCCATCCTCAGTACCAAAAAAAAAAAAAAAAAAAAAAGCCCAAGGGCTTGCTGAGTTGCCTAGACTGGCCTCAAATTTACCATCCTCCTGACTCAGCCTCCTGAACCACTGGATCATAGGCATGGGCCACCAAGCCCAATAAAATTAACCATCTTAAAGCACAGGAAGTGTAGAGCTCATTGGCATTTTGGATGCTCACTGTATGTGCAGTCACTGCTTTTGTGTAGTTCCAGAACATTCCATCACCCCAGAAAGAAACCTCGTGCCCGTTAAGTAGCCTTCCTCATGTCCAGCGCCGGCCCTCGGCCGTGGATTCGCCTCCTCGGGGCGCTTGTGGGAGCCTGGGCGCTTTCCCTCCACTGGGTTCCTCTGCTGTGTGGCGGGACCCTTCATGCCCTTGCACGGCTGAATAGTACTCCGCCGTTTGTCCGAGTGTCTCTCGAGGTACCCTGGATTGTCCCCGTGTGGCTGCTGGGATAGTGTAACTGTGGACCCCCTTGGACACGTTTTTGTTTGGACATCTGTTCTTAGTTCTTGGGGACTTCGGCCTGGCCGTGCAGTCGCCTAGGGCCAGTGGGTCTCTGAACCCGCCCGAGACTGTGACCTTGACTCCTTGGCTCAGGAGCGACACCCAGGCGACTCAGCCCAGGTGTCCGTCCAGGTGGCTGCGGCTGGGCACTGTTGAGCCCTCTGTGGTGGCTGCAGAGC